CCATGAAAATGGTTCCATTGAAGTTCAAGAGGATGATGTTGCATGTAGGTATTTGGTCATTACAAATGTTCTTAAAGCTATGTTTATATGTGTGAGGTAATAAAAATCAGTTTTTCCTTGAATAGCAGGCAACTTTATTACAAATTGGTCTACACTTTCGTCTTTTATGCCTGTTTAAGGGACGATTATGGTATACTGCAGGAATAATTTTACTATATAGTTAAGTGGCCCTTAAAATTGGCCGGCAGCCCAAAAAATATTTGGAAATGTTTTAGTTACCATTTTAGGCAACTGCAATGTTGTCATAGCGTTTTAAAATCTGGATAAGAATGCTGTCAACGCATACATTTTTAATGCGGTGATCCTGCAAATAGGATGGATAGTCAATGGAAGAATATCACAATTTATTAATTAACAACGATTCAATTATGTCAACGTTTGGTTAACGATTTAAGCAGGGGAATGGGACCCCTCAGATACAATTATTTTTTCCTATGACACCTTCTTACGACAGCAAAAATTAAAGTAGAATTTCAAGACGTCATTATTAATTTGACTATTGTTAAAGCAGATCGCCCAGCAGTTGGATCAAAAGATGCTTTATGTCAAAATGGGTCTTGTAAAAGCAAACCTCCCCAGAGAGCAAACTTTAGATTTTGATGCAACATTGATGAATTTAATGGGCGCTGATCTCGTAAAAGCAGATCACCCAGCAGAGCCGGTTATATAATATGATGAAAACTTGTTTTATAGTAAAAAGTATTTAATTTTATGTCTGGCTCTATTTCATTATCAACCAATTTGAAACTTTATTACAAATTTATTTTCTTCAAATTTATACTCTAATGAAGTATATTCTTATGAGAATGTATAGTAATTATAAATATTCTTGTCCAACATGCAAAAGATTAAATTCTGAATTAATTGTAACAGCAAATAGTCTCTATTTACAGCTGATATTAATTTATAGTTTTTGTTAAAGATGTTGCACTCCTAGACAGAGAAGATGGAAACTTCATGGTAGATAGCACATGAGGATGAGTTGCATGTAAGTATTTGGTCATTACAATTGTACTTAAAACTATGTTAATATTTGTGAGACAATAAAAAATTGGTCTAAAATTTCTTTTATTCAAATTTAGACTCTAATGAGGTATATTTTAATAAGAATGTATAGTTATTGTAAATTAATTGTCCCTAATTTAAGATTTGACATGACACATGCATCACATTAATTTTTGAATTAATTGCAACAGCAAAAAGTCTCTATTTAAAGCTGAAACTAATTTAAAGTTTTTGTTTTTGTTAGATACAGCCTAAATATGTGACCGTCCTATACCATGAAAATGGTTCCATTGAAGTTCAAGAGGATGATGTTGCATGTAGGTATTTGGTCATTACAAATGTTCTTAAAGCTATGTTTATATGTGTGAGGTAATAAAAATCAGTTTTACCTGGAATAGCAGGCAACTTTATTACAAATTGGTCTACAATTTCGTCTTTTATGCCTGTTTAAGGGACGATTATGGTATACTGCAGAAATAATTTTACTATATAGTTAAGTGGCCCTTAAAATTGGCCGGCAGCCCAAAAAATATTTGGAAATGTTTTAGTTACCATTTTAGGCAACTGCAATGTTGTCATAGCGTTTTAAAATCTGGATAAGAATGCTGTCAACGCATACATTTTTAATGCGGTGATCCTGCAAATAGGATGGATAGTCAATGGAAGAATATCACAATTTATTAATTAACAACGATTCAATTATGTCAACGTTTGGTTAACGATTTAAGCAGCGGAATGGGACCCCTCAGATACAATTATTTTTTCCTATGACACCTTCTTACGACAGCAAAAATTAAAGTAGAATTTCAAGACGTCATTATTAATTTGACTATTGTTAAAGCAGATCGCCCAGCAGTTGGATCAAAAGATGCTTTATGTCAAAATGGGTATCGTAAAAGCAGACCTCCCCAGAGAGCAAACTTTAGATTTTGATGCAACATTGATGAATTTAATGGGCGCTGATCTCGTAAAAGCAGATCACCCAGCAGAGCCGGTTATATATATAATATGATGAAAACTTGTTTTATAGTAAAAAGTATTTAATTTTATGTCTGGCTCTATTTCATTATCAACCAATTTGAAACTTTATTACAAATTTATCTTCTTCAAATTTATACTATAATGAAGTATATTCTTATGAGAATGTATAGTAATTATAAATATTCTTGTCCAACATGCAAAAGATTAAATTCTGAATTAATTGTAACAGCAAATAGTCTCTATTTACAGCTGATATTAATTTATAGTTTTTGTTAAAGATGTTGCACTCCTAGACAGAGAAGATGGAAACTTCATGGTAGATAGCACATGAGGAGGAGTCGCATGTAAGTATTTGGTCATTACAATTGTACTTAAAACTATGTTAATATTTGTGAGACAATAAAAAATTGGTCTAAAATTTCTTTTATTCAAATTTAGACTCTAATGAGGTATATTTTAATAAGAATGTATAGTTATTGTAAATTAATTGTCCCTAATTTAAGATTTGACATGACACATGCATCACATTAATTTTTGAATTAATTGCAACAGCAAAAAGTCTCTATTTAAAGCTGAAACTAATTTAAAGTTTTTGTTTTTGTTAGATACAGCCTAAATATGTGACCGTCCTATACCATGAAAATGGTTCCATTGAAGTTCAAGAGGATGATGTTGCATGTAGGTATTTGGTCATTACAAATGTTCTTAAAGCTATGTTTATATGTGTGAGGTAATAAAAATCAGTTTTTCCTTGAATAGCAGGCAACTTTATTACAAATTGGTCTACACTTTCGTCTTTTATGCCTGTTTAAGGGACGATTATGGTATACTGCAGGAATAATTTTACTATATAGTTAAGTGGCCCTTAAAATTGGCCGGCAGCCCAAAAAATATTTGGAAATGTTTTAGTTACCATTTTAGGCAACTGCAATGTTGTCATAGCGTTTTAAAATCTGGATAAGAATGCTGTCAACGCATACATTTTTAATGCGGTGATCCTGCAAATAGGATGGATAGTCAATGGAAGAATATCACAATTTATTAATTAACAACGATTCAATTATGTCAACGTTTGGTTAACGATTTAAGCAGCGGAATGGGACCCCTCAGATACAATTATTTTTTCCTATGACACCTTCTTACGACAGCAAAAATTAAAGTAGAATTTCAAGACGTCATTATTAATTTGACTATTGTTAAAGCAGATCGCCCAGCAGTTGGATCAAAAGATGCTTTATGTCAAAATGGGTCTCGTAAAAGCAGACCTCCCCAGAGAGCAAACTTTAGATTTTGATGCAACATTGATGAATTTAATGGGCGCTGATCTCGTAAAAGCAGATCACCAAGCAGAGCCGGTTATATAATATGATGAAAACTTGTTTTATAGTAAAAAGTATTTAATTTTATGTCTGGCTCTATTTCATTATCAACCAATTTGAAACTTTATTACAAATTTATCTTCTTCAAATTTATACTATAATGAAGTATATTCTTATGAGAATGTATAGTAATTATAAATATTCTTGTCCAACATGCAAAAGATTAAATTCTGAATTAATTGTAACAGCAAATAGTCTCTATTTACAGCTGATATTAATTTATAGTTTTTGTTAAAGATGTTGCACTCCTAGACAGAGAAGATGGAAACTTCATGGTAGATAGCACATGAGGAGGAGTTGCATGTAAGTATTTGGTCATTACAATTGTACTTAAAACTATGTTAATATTTGTGAGACAATAAAAAATTGGTCTAAAATTTCTTTTATTCAAATTTAGACTCTAATGAGGTATATTTTAATAAGAATGTATAGTTATTGTAAATTAATTGTCCCTAATTTAAGATTTGACATGACACATGCATCACATTAATTTTTGAATTAATTGCAACAGCAAAAAGTCTCTATTTAAAGCTGAAACTAATTTAAAGTTTTTGTTTTTGTTAGATACAGCCTAAATATGTGACCGTCCTATACCATGAAAATGGTTCCATTGAAGTTCAAGAGGATGATGTTGCATGTAGGTATTTGGTCATTACAAATGTTCTTAAAGCTATGTTTATATGTGTGAGGTAATAAAAATCAGTTTTTCCTGGAATAGCAGGCAACTTTATTACAAATTGGTCTACACTTTCGTCTTTTATGCCTGTTTAAGGGACGATTATGGTATACTGCAGGAATAATTTTACTATATAGTTAAGTGGCCCTTAAAATTGGCCGGCAGCCCAAAAAATATTTGGAAATGTTTTAGTTACCATTTTAGGCAACTGCAATGTTGTCATAGCGTTTTAAAATCTGGATAAGAATGCTGTCAACGCATACATTTTTAATGCGGTGATCCTGCAAATAGGATGGATAGTCAATGGAAGAATATCACAATTTATTAATTAACAACGATTCAATTATGTCAACGTTTGGTTAACGATTTAAGCAGCGGAATGGGACCCCTCAGATACAATTATTTTTTCCTATGACACCTTCTTACGACAGCAAAAATTAAAGTAGAATTTCAAGACGTCATTATTAATTTGACTATTGTTAAAGCAGATCGCCCAGCAGTTGGATCAAAAGATGCTTTATGTCAAAATGGGTCTTGTAAAAGCAGACCTCCCCAGAGAGCAAACTTTAGATTTTGATGCAACATTGATGAATTTAATGGGCGCTGATCTCGTAAAAGCAGATCACCCAGCAGAGCCGGTTATATAATATGATGAAAACTTGTTTTATAGTAAAAAGTATTTAATTTTATGTCTGGCTCTATTTCATTATCAACCAATTTGAAACTTTATTACAAATTTATTTTCTTCAAATTTATACTCTAATGAAGTATATTCTTATGAGAATGTATAGTAATTATAAATATTCTTGTCCAACATGCAAAAGATTAAATTCTGAATTAATTGTAACAGCAAATAGTCTCTATTTACAGCTGATATTAATTTATAGTTTTTGTTAAAGATGTTGCACTCCTAGACAGAGAAGATGGAAACTTCATGGTAGATAGCACATGAGGAGGAGTCGCATGTAAGTATTTGGTCATTACAATTGTACTTAAAACTATGTTAATATTTGTGAGACAATAAAAAATTGGTCTAAAATTTCTTTTATTCAAATTTAGACTCTAATGAGGTATATTTTAATAAGAATGTATAGTTATTGTAAATTAATTGTCCCTAATTTAAGATTTGACATGACACATGCATCACATTAATTTTTGAATTAATTGCAACAGCAAAAAGTCTCTATTTAAAGCTGAAACTAATTTAAAGTTTTTGTTTTTGTTAGATACAGCCTAAATATGTGACCGTCCTATACCATGAAAATGGTTCCATTGAAGTTCAAGAGGATGATGTTGCATGTAGGTATTTGGTCATTACAAATGTTCTTAAAGCTATGTTTATATGTGTGAGGTAATAAAAATCAGTTTTTCCTGGAATAGCAGGCAACTTTATTACAAATTGGTCTACACTTTCGTCTTTTATGCCTGTTTAAGGGACGATTATGGTATACTGGAGAAATAATTTTACTATATAGTTAAGTTGCCCTTAAAATTGGCCGGCAGCCCAAAAAATATTTGGAAATGTTTTAGTTACCATTTTAGGCAACTGCAATGTTGTCATAGCGTTTTAAAAATCTGGATAAGAATGCTGTCAACGCATACATTTTTAATGCGGTGATCCTGCAAATAGGATGGATAGTCAATGGAAGAATATCACAATTTATTAATTAACAACGATTCAATTATGTCAACGTTTGGTTAACGATTTAAGCAGCGGAATGGGACCCCTCAGATACAATTATTTTTTCCTATGACACCTTCTTACGACAGCAAAAATTAAAGTAGAATTTCAAGACGTCATTATTAATTTGACTATTGTTAAAGCAGATCGCCCAGCAGTTGGATCAAAAGATGCTTTATGTCAAAATGGGTCTTGTAAAAGCAGACCTCCCCAGAGAGCAAACTTTAGATTTTGATGCAACATTGATGAATTTAATGGGCGCTGATCTCGTAAAAGCAGATCACCCAGCAGAGCCGGTTATATAATATGATGAAAACTTGTTTTATAGTAAAAAGTATTTAATTTTATGTCTGGCTCTATTTCATTATCAACCAATTTGAAACTTTATTACAAATTTATTTTCTTCAAATTTATACTCTAATGAAGTATATTCTTATGAGAATGTATAGTAATTATAAATATTCTTGTCCAACATGCAAAAGATTAAATTCTGAATTAATTGTAACAGCAAATAGTCTCTATTTACAGCTGATATTAATTTATAGTTTTTGTTAAAGATGTTGCACTCCTAGACAGAGAAGATGGAAACTTCATGGTAGATAGCACATGAGGATGAGTTGCATGTAAGTATTTGGTCATTACAATTGTACTTAAAACTATGTTAATATTTGTGAGACAATAAAAAATTGGTCTAAAATTTCTTTTATTCAAATTTAGACTCTAATGAGGTATATTTTAATAAGAATGTATAGTTATTGTAAATTAATTGTCCCTAATTTAAGATTTGACATGACACATGCATCACATTAATTTTTGAATTAATTGCAACAGCAAAAAGTCTCTATTTAAAGCTGAAACTAATTTAAAGTTTTTGTTTTTGTTAGATACAGCCTAAATATGTGACCGTCCTATACCATGAAAATGGTTCCATTGAAGTTCAAGAGGATGATGTTGCATGTAGGTATTTGGTCATTACAAATGTTCTTAAAGCTATGTTTATATGTGTGAGGTAATAAAAATCAGTTTTTCCTGGAATAGCAGGCAACTTTATTACAAATTGGTCTACAATTTCGTCTTTTATGCCTGTTTAAGGGACGATTATGGTATACTGCAGAAATAATTTTACTATATAGTTAAGTGGCCCTTAAAATTGGCCGGCAGCCCAAAAAATATTTGGAAATGTTTTAGTTACCATTTTAGGCAACTGCAATGTTGTCATAGCGTTTTAAAATCTGGATAAGAATGCTGTCAACGCATACATTTTTAATGCGGTGATCCTGCAAATAGGATGGATAGTCAATGGAAGAATATCACAATTTATTAATTAACAACGATTCAATTATGTCAACGTTTGGTTAACGATTTAAGCAGCGGAATGGGACCCCTCAGATACAATTATTTTTTCCTATGACACCTTCTTACGACAGCAAAAATTAAAGTAGAATTTCAAGACGTCATTATTAATTTGACTATTGTTAAAGCAGATCGCCCAGCAGTTGGATCAAAAGATGCTTTATGTCAAAATGGGTCTCGTAAAAGCAGACCTCCCCAGAGAGCAAACTTTAGATTTTGATGCAACATTGATGAATTTAATGGGCGCTGATCTCGTAAAAGCAGATCACCCAGCAGAGCCGGTTATATAATATGATGAAAACTTGTTTTATAGTAAAAAGTATTTAATTTTATGTCTGGCTCTATTTCATTATCAACCAATTTGAAACTTTATTACAAATTTATTTTCTTCAAATTTATACTCTAATGAAGTATATTCTTATGAGAATGTATAGTAATTATAAATATTCTTGTCCAACATGCAAAAGATTAAATTCTGAATTAATTGTAACAGCAAATAGTCTCTATTTACAGCTGATATTAATTTATAGTTTTTGTTAAAGATGTTGCACTCCTAGACAGAGAAGATGGAAACTTCATGGTAGATAGCACATGAGGAGGAGTCGCATGTAAGTATTTGGTCATTACAATTGTACTTAAAACTATGTTAATATTTGTGAGACAATAAAAAATTGGTCTAAAATTTCTTTTATTCAAATTTAGACTCTAATGAGGTATATTTTAATAAGAATGTATAGTTATTGCAAATTAATTGTCCCTAATTTAAGATTTGACATGACACATGCATCACATTAATTTTTGAATTAATTGCAACAGCAAAAAGTCTCTATTTAAAGCTGAAACTAATTTAAAGTTTTTGTTTTTGTTAGATACAGCCTAAATATGTGACCGTCCTATACCATGAAAATGGTTCCATTGAAGTTCAAGAGGATGATGTTGCATGTAGGTATTTGGTCATTACAAATGTTCTTAAAGCTATGTTTATATGTGTGAGGTAATAAAAATCAGTTTTTCCTGGAATAGCAGGCAACTTTATTACAAATTGGTCTACACTTTCGTCTTTTATGCCTGTTTAAGGGACGATTATGGTATACTGCAGGAATAATTTTACTATATAGTTAAGTGGCCCTTAAAATTGGCCGGCAGCCCAAAAAATATTTGGAAATGTTTTAGTTACCATTTTAGGCAACTGCAATGTTGTCATAGCGTTTTAAAATCTGGATAAGAATGCTGTCAACGCATACATTTTTAATGCGGTGATCCTGCAAATAGGATGGATAGTCAATGGAAGAATATCACAATTTATTAATTAACAACGATTCAATTATGTCAACGTTTGGTTAACGATTTAAGCAGCGGAATGGGACCCCTCAGATACAATTATTTTTTCCTATGACACCTTCTTACGACAGCAAAAATTAAAGTAGAATTTCAAGACGTCATTATTAATTTGACTATTGTTAAAGCAGATCGCCCAGCAGTTGGATCAAAAGATGCTTTATGTCAAAATGGGTCTCGTAAAAGCAGACCTCCCCAGAGAGCAAACTTTAGATTTTGATGCAACATTGATGAATTTAATGGGCGCTGATCTCGTAAAAGCAGATCACCCAGCAGAGCCGGTTATATAATATGATGAAAACTTGTTTTATAGTAAAAAGTATTTAATTTTATGTCTGGCTCTATTTCATTATCAACCAATTTGAAACTTTATTACAAATTTATTTTCTTCAAATTTATACTCTAATGAAGTATATTCTTATGAGAATGTATAGTAATTATAAATATTCTTGTCCAACATGCAAAAGATTAAATTCTGAATTAATTGTAACAGCAAATAGTCTCTATTTACAGCTGATATTAATTTATAGTTTTTGTTAAAGATGTTGCACTCCTAGACAGAGAAGATGGAAACTTCATGGTAGATAGCACATGAGGAGGAGTCGCATGTAAGTATTTGGTCATTACAATTGTACTTAAAACTATGTTAATATTTGTGAGACAATAAAAAATTGGTCTAAAATTTCTTTTATTCAAATTTAGACTCTAATGAGGTATATTTTAATAAGAATGTATAGTTATTGCAAATTAATTGTCCCTAATTTAAGATTTGACATGACACATGCATCACATTAATTTTTGAATTAATTGCAACAGCAAAAAGTCTCTATTTAAAGCTGAAACTAATTTAAAGTTTTTGTTTTTGTTAGATACAGCCTAAATATGTGACCGTCCTATACCATGAAAATGGTTCCATTGAAGTTCAAGAGGATGATGTTGCATGTAGGTATTTGGTCATTACAAATGTTCTTAAAGCTATGTTTATATGTGTGAGGTAATAAAAATCAGTTTTTCCTGGAATAGCAGGCAACTTTATTACAAATTGGTCTACACTTTCGTCTTTTATGCCTGTTTAAGGGACGATTATGGTATACTGCAGGAATAATTTTACTATATAGTTAAGTGGCCCTTAAAATTGGCCGGCAGCCCAAAAAATATTTGGAAATGTTTTAGTTACCATTTTAGGCAACTGCAATGTTGTCATAGCGTTTTAAAATCTGGATAAGAATGCTGTCAACGCATACATTTTTAATGCGGTGATCCTGCAAATAGGATGGATAGTCAATGGAAGAATATCACAATTTATTAATTAACAACGATTCAATTATGTCAACGTTTGGTTAACGATTTAAGCAGCGGAATGGGACCCCTCAGATACAATTATTTTTTCCTATGACACCTTCTTACGACAGCAAAAATTAAAGTAGAATTTCAAGACGTCATTATTAATTTGACTATTGTTAAAGCAGATCGCCCAGCAGTTGGATCAAAAGATGCTTTATGTCAAAATGGGTCTCGTAAAAGCAGACCTCCCCAGAGAGCAAACTTTAGATTTTGATGCAACATTGATGAATTTAATGGGCGCTGATCTCG